TTCGGGTAGTAACAAATTAGTTCTTTCAAATCTCTTAACTGCTTTTGTACTACAAGATCTTTTGTCACGCCATCCATATAATGAATGTCTTCTTCACAAAGAGAATCATATCATAATAATTGTCATGTTTAAAATCATCATAAGCAAAATAATTTCTTGCTTTAATTTTGCTTTTAATAACTTTCATAAGGCTTGACAAAATATTTGGCGTATCACATGTATGCGACCAATGATATATTCATGTAACTACACAATAATATTCATTATCTTTCTTTGTCTCAAACCTCCCTTAGAGGTGAGTTGTAGTATTTATCCAACCATGCACAAGTACATTATTATGCATAATCTTTATCACATATATATTTTCACATTCACTTTCAGGAATGAGTATGCAATCTCAATATTTATCACAAATCACATTCTCTTCAAAGAATTTCTCCCTTTTTATAATTACCATAGTGATAACTATTATTATTTTGGCCTTTCGCACGCCCACATTCATTTTTCAACCACTTGTCTTTATTTAAACTTATCATGCACTGCTATCACATTCACTTCAAGAATGGAGCAAATCAAGTGGGATAAGATTCATGCTTTTTCATGAAAAATATATTATTATTATCAATATGGTGCATTAGGACTCAAACCCAATATCTTACCCATATAAAGGCATGCTAGGTCATAATGCGTTGGAACTTGAATCCAACGTCTTTTCATCAACATAGTGTGTTGGGACTTGAACCCATCGTCTTACCCTCAATCTTTGGCATAATAGGCCAAAATTCACTAGGACTCGCACTCGAGCCTTTAAAATATTATTACTTCATAATTATAGGCATAAGTAAATTAACTTTCAAGAAGACATATATAACTATTTCAATCTTGAAACAGTTCCTCTGCAACAAAAATGCTAGTTAGGATATATGCCATTTTGTTTTCAAATGATACAATCACTTTTACATTTTAATAAATTAATTAGGGGAAAGGTGCAGATAACCTATAACCACTTATATTTCAAAGACTATAAGAACTTCACCAAAAAAATCCAATACGGAGGAATGAGCCTTATGTTTCCAGCAAAAATATTTAAGGCTTAATGCATAACTGTGACTATTATAAATTATAACTATAATAAGTTTATATTGATTGTATATTCCAATGACAAATTTGCAAGGTACTGTACAATCGCCTACATATTTGATAATTTTGCTTTCAATGAAATACATCATGTGATGGTAAAAATATTATTACTAAATTACCTTAATAATTATCTATCATAGTATGTAAAAGGTCAGAACATATATATACGTTAGAATATTATCTTTGTCCTATAAGAGATGTAGCAAATAAAGACATACCTTTCCAGTTCTTTATTTCACTGGATATAATTGAAAAAAATATTTTTACTAAACACTGCACATAAAGTTAATGCAAAGATATGAAAATATGAATGTGTTTAGATGAATGTAAAACTTATCTTTGTATTATCATCCAAGACATTTTTTTCATTGTACTTGATCTCATTGCCTGCTTATAACTTACATAGTCTTGACATAGAAGATTATGAAATGAGCAATTCGTGCTGATAACGTGTTATAAAATAAAAGCAATTTAGTAAAACATGAAGACATGTTATGAAATAAAAGCAATTTAGCAAAACATGAACAAGAAATAGAGATAGAGAGAAGGAAGATATTTTCTTCTTCAATTGTGTGTATTTTCTTATCTATTACAAAGCCTTTATATAAGCATGAAAAGTGAAGAAAAATATGTCATTGAATATGTCATTAAGCATAGAAATATGTCATTGAATATGTCATTAAGCATTTGAGAAGATTATGGAGGAAGAGTAGACATCCACCATAATTTCATTTGTCTTATAACACTTATATCTTTATTATCTTATCGAGATTGTTTCTTTCAAAATAAGCTCAAATAAAGTTAAGGAAGCATAACAAAGCAAGTTAAGCCGAAAATTATCCCAATGTGCCAAATTGAAATTATTTGCAACAGGCTAGAAATATATGTATTGGGAATTTGTTTGTAGCAATTTGAACACTATGTGGGTTAATTTGAGTACTTATATGTGGGTTCTTTCGGGGGTGGGAAGAGCCTTCCTATGCATTAGCAGTTCCACTTCAAGAATGAATGATGCAAGCAAATCGTGCCATCTTTTGAATATTAACAGTTCTAGCATCCCACGGGCACCTCGCATATAGTAGTGAAACAACCCACAAATTACCTTTTATCATTAAATTGTTTGACATAATTCCATCTGTAAGAGAACACCAAGGTAAAGTCAGCATTAATCAGATTCATCTTTCCACAAGAAAAACAGGCAATCACAAGGGCCACCATAATAGAATGCCATCTAACAAGGCCTTTGTATTGGAAAGCAATATAACAAACGAATCAGAATACTACGCAGAGGATTTCCTACCAAGCACACACCTTTTCGGTCACAGGCCACAGCCAATGAAGTTTGGTACTTTATACAATTATTATTAGGACGCAATACGTTAGATTAAACATTAAGCAAACAAGAAGCTTAGTTTGAAGAAGTGCAAATTTCCTACAAGCAAACCACTAGGAAGAAATTTGATTTACCCGAAACAAAAAAGAGAACTTTAGGCAGAAACACTAGGAAGATACCTAAGCAGAATATTTGATTGCTAACCATGTTGCTACCTATTATTAAGTGGATACATGAAGCTTTAACACATATCAAGTTCAGATAACTTCTTCAAAAGTTATGACATTTAATACCCTACAGCAACCTGGAAGAAGCGTCTCAAATCTCAGTCAGATATCATCTATTTCAAGGGTGTGTACAGTTCTTTTGAACTCCGGAGTCATGTTGAAAGTCCATCTTTACAAAGGGACCACATGATATGCAATTCAAATCAAATTTATGTTAATATCTGTAGAAATCTGTCCGTACTGTCAAAGGCTACTCAAGACAAATATATTTCCAAGATTTCAGAGTTAATGCTTGCTTGATCACTAGCATAAAATAGTTACTTTTTACCTAGAGCACAAGATGGTTTATGCAGAAATATATTTCTTACAATTATCTAAAATCAGTAGTATTTCATAGTATCTGCTAGCACAAAAACTTACCCTGCATAACATAAAAAGATTGACTATAGTTGCTACTGTCCATTCGACGTTTTTCCCTTACACTCATGCATAACAATTCAGAGGAATCTTCCTACCTTGAGTAAATTGAATAGCCATCTTGTTTCATAAAGATTCCAATCTACTCCACGTGCCCATAACTATCGAGCCATTCTGTGTGGATTTGAGATTCTCTAACACATACCAGCTTCTAAGTATCTAGAGTGCAGAAAAACAGTTCAGTGAACCATACTTGTCAGGCATGATATTATGCTCCTACAATACCTACTGACCTTGCTGAAGTCTAGTTTTAATCTCCTGATTATGCAAAAGATCAGATATTATGGACTTATAATAGGTGGTGCCGGACTGCTTTTCCTTTAAGGCAAGAGTGTATCTTGTTAGTAATTTTGAGTAATTTATGCCAAAAATACTTTTCTCGGCCTTTGGCTAAGATCACAAGTATAGTGTAACCACCGTATATATTTGCTGAAAAATTGAGAAAAAGGCAAAACACATTCAATTTGTAGAGAAATTGTTTAATTCTCTAAATTCATTCCTTAAAAAATCCCATATTACCAAACTATAACATATTAAAATTAACTTAGAATTACTAGTAAAATCTACTTGAGCTTCTTCTCAGTAAGGAATGATGTTTCTTTTATATGCACTAAAATCCACGGATGAAGTTAATGGCGCTACTTCAAATTAATTGATTGGTTCAAAATGGCAAGAGGAGGAAACAAGTGTAATTTTTGGGAGCTAAAGAGGTCTTTTGAATAATGATAAATGAGAGGAGAGACGGTGCAATCAAAGATCACATGAATACCCAATCTAAGGCAAATGTCTAAGAGAATAGAGGGCTATATCGCAAATCAATGACACAAGCCCATGACAAATGATCCAAGCTCCTTAATTAGTAAAAACATTTTGAACATCAAATTCCGAAAAAAAGTGTACCTTGAAAGGTTAATCTATTGTACTTCTCTTCCAACTGATCCAAAATCTTCAGGAGGCCATACCTAATCACAATATCAGAACTTTTACAATTCCATAAGACACTAAAAGCTTGTTTGGCCAAGCTGCAAAAATTAGCTTATTTTGAGAAGTGTTTTTCTCAAAAGTACTTTTGGTGAGAAGCAGTTTTTGTTTGGCTAATTAATTTGAAAAGCACTTCTGAGCAGCAATTAGTGTTTGGCCAAGCTTTTAAAAACTGCTTCTAAGTGTATTTTTCTCAAAAGTATTTTTCAAAAAAGTACTTTTGGAGAAAATCTATTTTTTTCTCCTTCTCCAAAACTGCTTCTGCTTCTCCTCAAAAGCACTTTTTTTCTTCCAAAAGCTTGGCCAAACACTTTAACTTTGAAAAAAAAACATGTTTTTCTCAAAAAAAAGTGGTTATAGAATTGGAGAAGCTTGGTCAAACAGGCTATAAGACAGTAAAGTCAAACAAAGGATGATGCACATACTACTAGTACTTAAAATGGAGTACTGATTACAAAGTTATATGTAGTATAATATTCCTAGTTTACTAATCAGAATTACCCTCCAAAAAGAGTTAATGACATAACCATTCCATGGCATGCATAAGGAGAGCAAATATGATGGCTAGCATGAAAGGTCTCGAAGAAATTAAGCAAAAGCCTTTTCTAAATATAATCAAGTCAAAACAATTTAGCAAATATAGGTAAAATTTGAAATAGAGAGGAATCACTAACAATCCAAAAGACTCTGCCCTGCACAAGTCCATAAGGAACAGGTCCAAATTTCCTTGAATCAGTGGTATTAAACTTGTTATCCCCTTCAATCCAAACATGTCCATTTGGTACCTGTCCACATTCAAAGCATATTCACCTAAGAAACAAAAATGGATAACCCAAAATAGAAGAAGCAAAAACCCAATTACATTTCACTCCTGAATATAAACTAACTGAAAACTACAAATTGTTACCACAATAGTATGTTCTTTGTCATTATTTCCAGGACCCGCAACATATTTAACAGTATCACCACCCATACCCATGAGTCTCTTAATCACAATCTTTCTCGGGTTTTCGGGGCTCCGCACTAGCACTACATCGCCCCGTTGCATTTTCTCAAACCGAGTCGAAAGCCTTTCGGCCAAAACGAGATCTCCAGTCAGATTAAACGTTGGAAGCATGCTTGGACCTTGAGTCTGCCCAACAAAGAAAATAGCAAAAAGATTTAAAGTTGCCCAAAGAATGAAATAGTAAACGAAAAAGATACTGGTTCTGGTAAAGTACGAGAGCGAAGGTGCAGAGGTAGGTGTTGGTGACATGAAGACCACAGAGGAACTTGGCCACGAGTAGTGTTTGTTGAAATGCTTCTTTGACAAAAGGTGTCAATTGCTTCAGATTTCCCAGACCCATTTCCCTGATTTCTCTTCCACAGAGCTTCAAGAAAGGTTTTAAAGCATCTCTTGAATTGAAACAAACACAGAAATTGAGTGAGCAATTGGGAAAATCATAGATTGTAGTTCTCTTATAATAATTCTCTTCTTTTTGTCTATTAATAATTGATTTTCATTCAATCTTCCTAAATTTCTAGTTTGGTTTTAGTTTTTGAAGATATAACCCCATTAAAAATTATCTCGTGTTTGTTCTCCGTGGGTTTGATATTTGAAATATTTTTCATTTAACTATATACTTGCATCTGATTTGTTTGATTGACTAATACGTAATAATTTGGGGTTAGGGCAAATATGTGGTCAATTGGTCAAGCCTCATCTTCATGCCTCCGGGTCGTTTGCACCAAAAGCCACTTTAAATGTTCTTTAAAACATGACGGCATGATCATAAATTTAAAAACAAAATTAAAAAAATAACATTGTATAGCACTCTCAAAATAATAGTCGAAAATATATATATTTTTTAAAATATATTTACACTTTTTTGACTATCGAATATAAATAGTTTCTGACGCGGGCTAAAAATGATAATACCCCTTTAAAATTAATGTAATTTTAACCATTTTAATTAATCCGCCAACTTGTAATCACAAATAAGCATCGAGTACAAGGGCATATGTTACAGACACTGTGTCTAATTACTAGTATATTAATTTCGCTAACTTTTTATACCCACACCCACTGAAAACTGTTCTATAAAGTGGTTCCTCAATATAAAACATTTTTCACCAAAAATATTTCTACAAAAAAAATATTTGCTCGTACAAAAAGCAAGCACATTATATTTTGATATAATCATATGGTATCTGGTATCCATAGCTAGATTAATTTGGATTTGCATCATATAAGGTTCATTATAAGGAAAAAATATTTATATAAAACTCGAATCTAAAATCTTTAATAAAGGGTAGAGAGATATCATACTCTATCTAGGGATAGCAATGGGGCAGTACGGATGCGGGACGGTGTGGGTGCGGGGCAATGCGGGTTTGGGAGTTTGTGGTTGCGGGGCGGGTTCAATTTTTAAATTAAAAAATTGGG